CCTGTCTGGCAAGCCCCTGGGGAACGACACATGCATTTCTTCTTGCCTCTGGTGCTTTAGTGCTGAGAAACACCCCCGTTACACACCCCCTGAAAACCTAAACCATACAGAGCTAGAGAAACTTTTCCTGATTATTTTTCCTTCTCCAGACAGGGACATCGATATATTTGAATCATGGGCTGACAGTAATTAAAAAGCACATAACTAGTCATTTTAAATGCAGTTGTTTTACTTAATTGATTTTGCCGCCAGACCCAGAGGAAAAAGGAATGGGGAAAGAAAGCCTTAGAAAGGAAGAGAAGTTTCCCAGAGTAACTGGAGGCAGCTGAGGCCCTGCTTGAATCTAATTGCTGCAAATGCTATAGTTTGTTTCTGCTAATGGTTTTCTGCTGAAAGGGCTGGGAGCCGGGGCTTGATTGGAGGGGGTGGCGTTTGTTTCAGCTGCAGGGGAGAAGTATAGCTCTGCTTTTGGGACAGGACCTATTTTTCTTTACTATCTATTAGCATAAAGTTCTTCCACTGAACACTTTGAATCAAAGTTCCATTTAGAGATACTTTATTCATATTTAATTACAGGCTGTAGCACCAATCTTTAATTACCTTTTACATAAGCTAGCTAAGAACATCTAGCAATCAATTATTGTGTGTGTGTGTGTGTGTGTGTAAGCACAGGAGGGTATGGGTATATGACTTGCTTCCTGATAGATAGGGAAAGGATGGCTGCGGAGGGTCAGGAGGCTTGGGGAGTGGTAGGTGGGGTGGGTGAGGAAGAGTGGCATTTACCTAACAGGTTCCCTGTGTCATGACTGGCACATCTTCATCACTTGTGTCTTTTTGCTTCCACTGATAAGATTGGGATTTGGGCACCTGTTCCAGGGTGCTGAGTTAGCCGCTAGGTTTGGATGGGATCTTGGGACTCGCTGTATCCACTGGTGGGAGCAGGGGACTTGTAGAAGGCCCCCTTCCTGTCCCTTGGGCATGTGGTGGACAAGGCTTCCTCTCATCTGGGAGATTGGGATATGACCTTTCCTTCCTCCATGTCCCCACGGGATGCTCTTGGCAGCTGGTCTGGCCACACAGCCCTAGCTATATGCCATGTCACTCTTTGGTTGCAGTGACTCTGCAACATCTCAGCAGTGGCACTAATTTGAAGACTGACCTTCCTAGAGAATGTGCAGATATCCCTGGGGAGTGGGGTCAGATGACCTCTAAGCCCCTGTGTAGTGGGAAGGTTGGGCCATTCCAGGTGCCTGGGAGATGAGGGTCTGAGTTCACAGCTTTGCTCCGGAGAACATCGTCCTCGGGAATTGGTGCCCCTTCAGGAGCCATCGGGTGGTTCCCGAGGAACTTGGGTGGATCACATAATGCAGTGGCTGGGAATGTGCCTGAGGCCCTATTTTCCCTTCTTTTCTTGGACCCTGTCCCAGCAAAAGGGTGAAGAGGGGATAGGGACTCACATGTACGAAGGCCCTGTGGGTGCTGGATCTCATGCTTATATTTCCTTCATTGATCCCAGCGAGGGCCTGAGAACACACTGGATCAGTCACAGCTTCTTCAGTTGTATATGACAGAAAACTCAAACTGACTTGGCAAAAAAGGGAATTGTGGAATGTTTACTCAGGCATGGCTAGGTCCAGGGGCTCAAGCATTGTCACCAGGATTTACTTGGTCTCTTGGTTCTGCTGTTCTCTTTGTTGCTGCTTGTGTGATCCCAGGCAGCTCTGGCTTATATTTTAGTTTCAAGTTCAGTAGAAAGAGAGAATATGTTTTCCTACAGTTGGAAATAAAACAAGTGAGTCTAATTGGATCAGTTGGGTATCTTTCTCTGAAACAACCACTGTGGCCAGAGGTATTCAGCGTTCTGATTGGCCGGGCTAGGATATCTATCACACACCTGCTGGAGTAATTGGTGCAGTCTACCTAGGAGTTTACCTGTAGGTGAAACTACAGATGACAGTGTTTTGACTGCCCTGGACTAACACACTTGAGGTCTTTGAATTTATAGGAATGTGATTGTAGGAAGGCTCTGGGGATCCAAGCAGGTCCAGTCATTTCAAAGGGAAGGAAGAATCTGTTCAGTTCTTTTCAAATGGAGAGAATAGTGGATCCATTCACTCAACAAATATTTATTTGGCATCTACTAGTTCCAGGGCTTGTTCAAACCGAAAAGTGAAACGAAATGCACTGCCATCGAGTTGATCCTGACTCATAGTGACCCTATAGGACCGAGTAGAACTGTCCTATGGACTTTCCAAAGCTGTAAATCTTGATGGAAGTGTACTGCCTCATCTCTCTCCTGCAGAGAGGCTGGTAGGTTCAAACATCCAACCTTTTGGTTAGCAGCCGAATGCTTTAACCGTTGCACCACCAGAACTTCTTCTCCCTGTTCAAGGTACAAGGAATTCAGCAGTGAAGAAAACAGATAAGAATCCTTCCCCCGTGGAGCTGATACTCTAATGGGCTTTATAGGCACAGTGGTCCTAAGCCCAGGTCCAGAATAAAGGGTTCTCATGCTGAGAGACCCAGGGTGATTCAGGGTGGATGACGTGTGAAGAAGCTTACCCTTAGGCAGCCTAGAACTCATGAAGGAGGGGAAAATACAGTTTTGTGGCTGGAGGAGAAGGGAGAACTAGATACCAGGAGGGGTTACAAATAAAAACCCAGTGAGAACATGGGACACAGAAAAGCCAGTCCTATACCCATCTCCTGTAACAAAAATGTCGGCCCCGCCGTGTTGCCTGGGCCTTTGGCCTCAGCAGGATGTTGATAAATGGCATGGAGTTCAGTGAAAGCAACAATAATGATGGCAGGGCTGGAGGCAGTGATTTATGAGATGAGATTAGCAAAGTGATGGGGCAGCCTGGCAGAAAGGGGGATGAGATGGTGGCCGTGGTCAGGTGACTGCTGAAGTCCAAGGGGAGGAGAGAGCATGGGAGGGTGGGGGAAGAAGAGGAGGCATGTGATTACTTATATACATACACATGTACACATGCGTGTGTGTCAGTGTGTGGACTTTCCATAGCTCTGAGGACGTACAGAGGCTGGAGAGGGAAGAAATGGAGGGAATTGGAATTTCATCCTTGCCCTATCTTGAATAAAGGTTCTGGGGACCTCCTTCCCATCTGGTGGAATGTTCTGGACTGTGTAGATGTGATCACTCAAATCAGACAAAACATTCCTTCAGGAAAGTTGGTGTGACATTCTTAAGAGGGAGGGAAGAAGGGAAGAGAAGATGGAGTAGTAAGAAGTATACTTTCCATATCGTAGAGGGAGAAAGTGAGGCATAGCAAAGTTAGGTGAGGACCGAAAGCAGGCTTCTGGCTCGCAGCCCTGGCTCTCTGCCCTGGTGGTTGGGCTGGGAGTGGGCTCGGAGCCCTGTATTGAGGCTCAGGCAGGAAGGATAGTTGGCTGCTGGGTCTGTCATCTTTGGCCTGGGGGTTTTGAGTTCTCTAGGTTGGTGGAGTTGGGACATTTGCCTATCTCATCCCTATCTTGGGCTGCTCTAGGCCCAATTTATCTATCTATCTATCTATATGGAGCTCTGGTAGCTAGTGCTTAAGGCACTTGACTGCTAACCAGAAGGCTGGCAGTTCAAACCCACCACCCACTCCTCGGAAGGAAAGTTGGGCAATCTACTTCTGTAGTGATGTTGTTGTTGTTATTTGCCATTGAGTCGGACCCGACTCATAGCGACCCCTCCTTGGGTTTCCAAAGCAGTATCACTACGGAAGTAGATTGCCCAACCTTCCTTCCGAGGAGTGGCTGGTGAGTTCGAACCGCCAGCCTTCTGGTTAGCAGTCAAGTGCCTTAGGCACTACACTACCAGGGCTTCTGCCTCAGAAACCCAAGGAGGGGTCGCTATGAGTCATTCTGATTCGACGGCACATAACAACAACAACAAAAATATATAAAATTGAGATGAAACTCACATAACATGAAATGAACCATTTTAATGTATACAGTTCAGTGGCATTTAATACTGTCTTAGTTATCTAGGAGGTACTCTGGTGGTGCAGTGGTTAAAATGTTGGGTTGCTAACCTAAAGGTCCACAGTTTGAACCCACCATCTGCCCTGCAGGAGAAAGATGGGGCAGTCTGCTTCTATAAAGATTTACAGCCATGGAAGCCCTATGGGGAAGTTCTACAATGAGTCAGAATTGACTCAGTGGCAGTGGGTTTGGTATTTTTTGGTCTAGTTACCTAGTGCTGCCATAACACAAATACAAGTGGGTGTCTTTAAAAGAACAAGAACTTACCGTCTCATGATTTTGGAGGCTGGAAGTCTAAATCAGGACATCGGCTCTAGAGGAGGGTCCTTCCTGGTCAGTAGTCCCAGGCATTCCTTGGCTCACTGAAGGATCTTCATATGGCATCTGTCTTCCCCCTGTGTCTGTGTCACTGTGTCTATTTTTATCTTTTATATCAGTACTTCATTGCTTTTCATGGCCGAATAATATTCCATTGTATGTATATGCCACAATTTGTTTAGCCATTCATCTATTTATAGATGTTTGAGTTGTTTCTATGTTTTGGGTATTGTGATTAGCGCTGCTATGAGTATCTGTGTACAGGGATTTCTTTTGAGTACCTGTTTTCAGTTCTCTTGGGTATATAACAGAGTGCGGTTGCTGGGTCATATAGTAATTCGGTGTTTAACTTTTTGAGGAACTGATCTATTTACTTTTGATTCTACTTTTGTGACAGCCCAGGAGATAAAATGGGTAGATGATGTACGTTTCTGAACACTGTAGGTAGCATTTCTTTGGCTGCACACGTGTGAAGATATACACTCGAAGGGTGTTTTCTGCTGCTTTCCTCTTTGTATGCCTGGGTGGGAAGCTCCATGGCAGCGGAGGGCCCAGGCAAGGCTCTAGCTGGCACACATAACTCGTAAAGCAGAAAATCTTTTTTTTGTTGTTGGTGTTGGGCAGTACTAACTCTACCCTGTCTTCCTCTTACTGAGTTTCCTCTTGCTGTGTCCCTTCTCCCCTTTTGACAGATCCACGATTTGTTTCTGAGCTTTGATGACACCCCTCTGGGGGCTGCCTCTCTGGCTCAGGTCCACAAGGCGGTGCTGCATGATGGGCGGACAGTGGCTGTGAAAGTCCAGCACCCAAAGGTGCAGGCTCAGAGCTCAAAGGACATTCTCCTGATGGAGGTGAGAGCTTTCCCCTTCCTCCTTCCCTTGTCCTCATTCTGTACTTCATTGGATTCTAGCAGCCTTGGTTAAAGTGGTGGGTGGGGTGTGGCCCTTTGAGCGGTAGAGTGGCGAGAGGAGAGCTTGAGACCTTGACAAATGGGGTGTTACGACAACTCTGCGACCTTGGGACCTCATGGCTGGGATAACCATCTTTTCCATGTTTGTCCCTGGGAGCTGTGGGTGGTCTCAGAACACACTGAACAGCTCCTAAGGCCAGGGAGAACTCAAAGTGGAAGATAAAAATTAGATGAATCATAGGTGATTTTCTCGGGAGTAGAAAATATACATCTTAATTTTGTTAAATTGTAACAAAATGGAGAATGTGGACAACTAAAGGATATAAAAGTGATGTATAGATCATGCAGAAATATTTATACATGTTGGCTGTTTGCTTATATGATACTTATTTTGAGTGAACAAGCCTCCGTGCCTAAAAATGGCCCTTGAAGAAGCCCTAAGAGAGACTGTGTCCTGGACTTTGATAGCTCCAACCCTGGAACAAGGGAGAAAGATGGTAAGCTGGCCAGTGGCCAGTGCTCAGGACTGAGGAAAGCACGGCCCTGGGGAGGTCAGCAGTCTGTTTAACCTGCCAGCGTGTCCTTCTCCCTCCTGCTGCTGCCTCTGCGCTCTCCCTTTGTTCTCTTCCCATACCCTGGACTCCCAGTTTTTTTCTTTCAACTCACTTCAGATTTGTCACATGCATCGAGGGTCTCCTCTGCACATGTACCAGTTGGGTTCTGGGGACACAGGAGTTAATGAGCTCCATCTTCATCCTCAGGGAATGCCCAGGTTAGTGGAGAGGACAGGTAAGTAAATAGATGGCCACAGCGTAAGGATGTGAGCTCTGTCGAAGAGGAGGATGCTAAGTGTGATGGGGTCCTGTGCCTAGATTGGTGGCAGGCTTCCTGAAGAAGCAATGCCTGAGTAGACTCTTAAAGAGCTCATGAAACAGCCAGGCAGGTGGAAGGACTACTCAGCATGTATGAAGGCCCTGAGTGTTAGGGGGACAAGGTCTGCTTGGAGAATTGGTTCAAACGGTATGAGCTGGTGAGTGGTTGGAGATGAGGCTGGGGAGGCAGGCAGGACCAGACCATGGAGGGCCTTGTATTCCAGGCCAAGGTGGAGAACAGTGTCCATAGTAAACAATATGTGTTTGTGGAGCTAAGCTGCTCTCATTTTGTCCTGTAGTCAGTGGGGAACCATTTAAGAATTTTAATCAGGGGAGTATCATGATCAGATGTGCATTGGAAATAAAAATCATCGGGCAGTCTGGAGGAGGATGTATCGGAAGGGAGAAAGACTGTATGTAGCCAGGGGGCTCACTGAGGGGCCATTGCCTGGTTTGGGAGAGAAATAATGGTGTTAACCAAGGCAGTTTACAGGGATGGAATGGAGGGATGGGCCCAAGGGGTAGAATTATCAGGACACAAAATGATCCATGACCAGTTTCATACGAGATGGGATAATTGACTGGTATGAATGAGAAGGAGACAAAACCATTTCTGGCTTAAATGATTGAGTTTGGGTGCCTTAAACCATACGTATCAGAAAAAAAAAAAAAAAAAAATTGCCCTAGGTATTTCAAACAGAGGGAATTTAAAACAGAGAATTGGGTTTGAAGGGGATAGACTTGATAAGAAGGAAAATAGGTTGGTGAGACAGTCTAGACATTATCAATAGCAGGAAGCCACTGCGCCCTCAAGGCTGGAGGGCCAAAGTGGGGAGATGGTTCCCTGGAGCCCAAGAGCTGGGGCCACATGGTAGAAGCTTGCTGATTGGGAAATGGATCATAAACAGGACCTGTCAAGTGGGAGTTGGAGTCACAGAGGAGATGCAGCTGTTGCCAGAGATGCTGTTTGAGGCAGAAGTAGAGGGGGAGAGACATCTTGGCTTTCACCTTCTCTGTACCTTCTTTTTACTATATTGGTTCCCCGTACCCCCCCCCCAGTATCCCACCAGTGTTTATTCCACTAGGCTGAACCTAGCTGGAAACAGGCTGGGAGGGGAGCCTTGAAAATGTAGTCTATTTTGAGAACAAGGGGGATAGGCTGGATCTCAGAGCAAATAGAAATGGGTGATGGATGGGGTGACCTCTGTGAGGTCAGATATTACTCTCGGTGGTTTCGGATAGGGATGTCATTGTCTGGAATTTAGTCTGGAAATGCAGATTTGGGTTTTATCAGCAAGGGTACTCTTGGCAGCTGAAGCTGGGGAAGTAGTTGGGATCACTTAAAGAAGGTACATAAAGTAAAAAACAAAAAATAGGAAGGAGCAAGGAAAGAACTGTGAGGAACATTATTTAGAGAGTGAGCTGAGGAGGATGAGTTCACAAAGGGAGCTAACAAGGCAGTCAGAGATCAGAGGCGAACCAGGATTGAGCAGTGTTGCTACGCCCATTGAAAAATTTCAAGAAGAGCACTGTGTCAGTTAGCTATTGTTGCATAACTAACCACCTCAAAACTTTGGGCTTAAAACAACAATAGCCTTGTATTTTGCTCATGAATCTGTAATTTGAGCAGGGCCTAGGAGAGATGACTCATCTCTGTTTTATGCAGTACAGCAGGGGTGGCTTGACTGGAGGCTGTGGGGGGGGGTGTCCACTTCCAACGTGGCTTACTCATGTGGGTGGCAAGTAGATGCTGCCTGTTGGCTAGGAGCTCAGCTGGAGCTGTGAGCCAGGACCTGTGTTCCTCTCCATGTGGGCCTCTCTGTGGCTGTTTGGGCTTCCTTATAGCATGGTGGCTGGGTTCTAAGAAAATAAGGCTGAAAGTACATCATAGTTTTATGACCTAGCCTTGGAAGACACATATTCTTTACTGTATTGGTTGGAGCAGTCACAGGAGTTGGGGAAATAGATCCTACCTCTTAATGGGGGAATAAGACTCTAGAAGAATATGTAGGATGGTAGATATTGTTTTAGGTATTTTTGAAAAATATAATCTTCCAGGAGTATTCAACATTGTCCCATGGGAGGTCAAATTAGGTGAGCACTGACAAGGGTATTTTGGGTTTGGCAATTTAGAGTTGTTGGGAAGAGCAGCTGCAGTGGGATGAGTGGGGTGGGAGAGAAATGAGAGCCAAGTAAGTAGAGACAGTTAATGTAGGATGCTCTTTTCAGATGTTTAGCCACGAAAGGGAGAAGAGTTAGGCTAGTGGTTATAGCAGAACATGGGATTAAGGTCTGGGGGCCGGGGCTTGAGCAGGCTTGTAGCTGATGGGGAAGGAGGAGCAGGGAGCAGGGAATGGAAAAGTCAGGAGACTAGTAACGGATAGAACAGGTTCAGGAGGAAACTGAAGGGCTGGGCATTAAGAATACAGGTGGGAACATTAGCCTTTGATCAGCTTTGTTTTGAGACCAGAGGAAGATGGCATGGCTGGGTACAGATGAGTGTGTAGAGTGGAGGGGGGAAGGGAAGAGAAGTGGGCAGCTGAGCAGTCAGCAGCCTGATGGCCTCTATTTTCTGTCTGAAGTAGGAGGCAGGACCATCTGCTGAGAATGAGGGGGTAGGAGGTGGCATTGGAGGCTCGAGGAGGGGGTGAAGGTTTGGAGTAGCTGCTGTTTGCAGTGGGGAGCTGTGTGTGAAAGGGGAGTTGGCCAGCGTGAGGGAATAGGGCTTCTCAGTGGCACTGGGCATCCCACTGGAAACCTGCTTTTTCTAAGTGCCTGTAGTTGGCAGGAGGAGATGCCCTGATTAGGGGACTGCCATGGCTGGGAGTGAACTGGGGCTCTTGGAGGAGCCTCCTCTTGAAGTTGTGGCACTGGGTTTCCTGAGACCCTGAAGCCACTCTGAGTCAGGCTGGAACCTGGCTCTGCCTGGCTGTGCCATCAGGGCCCATTTGGGTGGGGAGGACAGCTGCTGCCTTTTCTCTGTTTAGAGCCTCACTGGCTCCCTAAGTACCTATGGCAGTGAGGTCAATAGCAATAATAGCAGTCATAAAGATTTGGCATCTTCCTCCCAGGGATAAGCATTGGATGCTTTTCTTTGGAAAGCATGGTCCAGGCTGGCTGTGTGCAGAGTACAGAGAGCTCCTTGTGGTTGCTGTGGCATGCTAGGCCTGGTGATTGCAGGGCCGATTGAAGACCCATGTGCAGAGCCTTTAGGAGAGGGACTGAGGGGGAGGCCTCAGATGGCCACTCTGTGGACCATCAGCATTAGCTGGCAAGTTGGTGCTAGCTGCTGGCTAGATTTTGCCTCTGGTGGAAAACAAAGTCATACCTGGGTCAGTCTTCTCTGTTATAAAACCAAAAGGAGCCCAGCTGGAAAGCTCATTTTCTTTTGTATTTAAAGTGAATATTACGGTTGTTTTTTGGGCCAGGCCTAAAGTATCTTAGGAGTCGGTGGGTGGTGCAGATGGCAAAGTGCTCTACTACCAGCTGATAGGTTGGAGGTTCAAACCCACTCAGGTGCCTCAGAAGACAGGCTTGGTAATCTGCTTCTGAAAGCCCTGAAAACCTTGTGGAGCAGTTCTACTCTGCACACATGGAGTCATCGTGAATTGGAATTGACTTGATAGTAACTAACAACAACAACAACAACAACAATGGTGTCTTGGTTTTAGGAAAATTGCTCAGGTGTACTTGGTAGAAGAAGGATTTCAAGGGGGCTTTAGGGCTCCCTTAGCTACCAGAAACTTTGAGATAGAAGGAAGCAAAGCTACTTTTCTGTACAGCTTTCTGGTACTCCATTCCTGCCCATTGCAGGTATCTTGCACCCTTGTACTTCTCTCCAGCTGTCCATTAATCTCCACCATTGTCCTCCCATATCCACCCCACTCAGGGATGGATCACAGCCTGATCTTGAGAGAAAGTAATCTGATTAAAGTAATTCATACCAAGGAGGGAGTGACTGATAGATTTGGCCTCTGTATTTGCAGTTTAACAGGTAAGCTTCAATCTAAACACATCTCTACTTTAAGGATAAAGGTGTGCAGCAGTGAATCTTTGGAGACAAGGAGGG